TTGGTTTTTTTTTTTTTTTTTTGGGGGGGGGGGGGCATTTGTTAAAGGCGACTGTCCACTGAACTGTCACCTCGGACACCCAGCACTGCCCCAGCTCCACCGCAATGCCACCAACGCAGCCGTCTGTCCCTGCCTCCCTGTCACACTCAGTCCAGCACTTCAGCTCCGCTTCAGAGTCCCTTGTCCCTTCCAGCCAGACTGCGTTTGGCCAGAGGATCAATTGACTCTCCTCAGGAATCCGACCCAAGGTGCAGTCAGGCGCTGGGGTTGTCCGAAGCAAGTCGTGTTCAGATCATTTTTTATTTTTTTTTTTTAACTTTATCGTAAGAGGAAATCAAGCTGGCATTAAAAGAGTAATACACCGGACTCTGAGGGGGTAAAAAAAAACAACAAAAAACAAACTTACTTCAGTTAAATGCTTCACTACACAACACTCCAAAGCACTCTATGTTTTCTTACACCACCATCAAGAACCTTCAATGGCCAGTACAGACAACACTACAAGGAAAATTAATGGTTTACATTTGGAGGATGGAATGAAGGAACCGCTCCTTACTCTCGCTACACCCTGAACACAACACACGGGCAGGCGGAGACCTGCGAGCACCGTTCCCCGTTTGTAACATCGCTCTGCACCGCTGGGATGAGGGCAGCTCCCCGACTCGAGATGCCCCGAGGGTTTTGGCTGAGCCCTTGGGGTCATGTTGACCCAGCGCCAAACGCTTTGAGGTCGCGCTAGCTGCAGCCTCCAGGTGCCGCAAGGAGTCTTGTGCTTAAAAAAGGGTTTGTTTTGTGGGAAATGGGAATTTAACTGCAAAAAAACCCATTTGCTACTGCTGGCTGGCACACCACAGCTCACAAAAAATCCAAAGCCTCGCAAGACGTGAACGTGCAAAGGGACTCAGTGACAAACTGAACAGCATGACGTGGATCTGATCGCTGAGAGGGCCCGGGAAATGCAAAGCCCAGGATTTAGGAGTCAATTTTTTCTAGCATTGCTTTGACAAACAAGGCACGGAGTATAAAACCAAAGCAAGCTGGATGCAACTTTTCTAGGAAAGCAGAACAAACTACAATAAAGGAATCAGCTTACACATCCCTGCTTAACGCCCGACCGTTCGGACAAACAGATGAATGGATCTTCCTGCACTGTGCCAACTCTAATTTTTTACTTACTGAAACATGCCTCCATTTATGAGATCATTTTTAGTTTCTTTGCCCTATGAAATTACTTACGATATTCTTCCAAATGGCGCAAAAGCTGCTTTTATATCTTCAGTTGTGATTTCTGGACTGAGGTCTCCGACAAAGACGTGGAAATGGTCTTTTGGGAAAAAAGAGAAAAAAATATCTTACTGGTTGAAGAGGACCCCTGAGCACGCACGTGCACAGAGAACAGCTATCTCACGGGGCACGGCTTTCCAGATGTTAGTAAAAACTACACGAAGACAGGAGTTTACTATGAAAGAGAATTTACCACTGCTCGTAACAGATCCTTTGCTTGGCAGCACTTCCAAGTCAGTGATTTTAAGGACACTACAGTGACACGTGGCATTTTTGTTTTGTGTTTTACAAACTGCTTTTAAGACCAGTCAGCGTTTACCGTACGGTCTTAAACTGTGCCAAGATGACACGAAAATCTTTCTCTCCAGAAGCTAGTGTTAAGCTCTGACATCGCAGGAGCCCACAAGCTGTTCACAATCCCATCAGCTGAAATGTCGAGCAGATTCAAGAAACACAGAACAACTGTCGTTCTAGAGCAGGAACTATTTTGAACCTCGCCACGATATCTGGTTTAACATCACAGGTCGTGAAAAACAAAAAAAAAAACTTGGCATTGCACCAGTTTGCTGCTAAAGTATTTGAGTTGTCAAAAGGCAACGGTTCTGGCTGCCCAGCCACCACACCACATGAATCCGCATGAATTCAACACATGGGAATCCACATGCAGGTGAACTGAGACTGAGACAGAACGGAAACAGCAATCCCTTCACTTTACACCAGAGCCCTAAAAAACACACACCAAAGAGAAACCAAAGTCCTGGATCTGAGGAGCTTTCCGCTACAATCAATGTCACAGACCATCCCAGCAATATACAGACTACGGCAGGTATGAAACTCTCCAGTCTGCTCAGACACTGATGTATTTATCCGCACTGGCCTACAGAAATTCAAAGCTTGCTGAGAAAAGGAACAATCTGCAGCTTCACCATGAGCGATGGAGCCCAATGCTGGAGACAGTCCGGATGCTCTGAGGGAGCCTGTCTGTGGTAGCACGGACTGAGGTCTCACAGGGAGCCAACAGGAACAAGGCGTTTCAGGATGGTTTTTTTATGATTGCACTCGTGACAAACAGCTGGAGACAAGCACCAGAACTAGGTCACTTTCTGATGCTACAGGGAAACAAAAGGGAAGGCTTTCCATAAAAAATAAACTCCTAACAAAAAAAAAAACCCATATAGAGCTTCAGGTGGTCAGTGCATGCCCTTGAGAGATTTCTTTCGATGATTAAGAAGACGCAATTACCTTGTGAGCGCTTTGTGTTGGCAACGGTACTACCTGATGACAAAGATTAGATTTGGTCTTGAGTTTCTTAACACAAACACATTAAATAATATCCTAGGATTACGATCAAAATATCACTGTGCATAATCATATGACGCTTACTGTTCATGATTAAAACCTGCTTGTACAAATCAAACACGTCCTCAGAGCATGAGCAACACTTACTGCTGGTGTCTTTCTTCTGGCTGCTGGGGGTCGTCGCCCAGTTCACTTTGACCTCCTGCAAATGTCAGACTCACATTAGATCGAGCAAATCCCAGCTGAGCTCAGAAACCTCCAGCCCTCCATTCTGACGCTACAGGGGCAGCAGACGTGCGAGTTTGGGGGGAAAACTCAAGTTTAAGACACATTTCCTGGGAGAGGGTTCATTCCTCCGAACTCTGTTTCACTGGTGTCGTGGGTTAAAGTTAACTTAA